TCAATATCATCACCTAAAAGCTCTTAACCTTCGGCATCTAACTAAAATTTTAACAATCGTAGCTCATCACAAAACGTGTGAAACGCCGAAAAAAAAAAGAGGGCAAAATTCTAGACCATTAAAAGCTTAAATTTTACTTAATCTGCCACAAAACATTTTTGCCTTGTTTTTTTTTTTAATTGACATTCCTACTTTACCCATACAATGCTGGCAAAATCACAGAACTGCCACAACACAGCCATGTCGATCCCGCAATTCCCTGGTCCGAATCCCTTGGCACTGCGGCGGCCTAATCCAAAGCCAATGTTACCGGCTATCACCGGTAACCCAACCGGTACGCAACCTACCAACTTCTGTCCAAAATCGATATGTATATATGTACATATAGGTTTACAACGTAATTATTCACGTTTGAACAAATTTTGACATCTCACAAAGAAAATCATAAAAGAGGGAACGAAAACTGGAGTTGATAATTAATAATAATTAAATTGTTAATTACATTTTATTAAGCGTCACGTAAAAAATCCTGCCTTTGGGATTTCTCTCATCTTCATGAAACTCGTCTCAGTGGCTTTTCTTCTGGAATGGTTTTGTCTCGGTGGGTTTCGTGGGATGTAAGAACGGAACCTTGGTCTCCGAGAGCTGCTTGTCTGCGAAATTTGGTAACCACACGATCTTCTTTCGCCTTTTCTTTGGTTTCTGGTGAATTTAGCTTTCGAGCTTTTAAGTTCATCGTGAAGTGAATGTGACATAATCCGAGGATTCTGTTCAAAGATCGAATTTCGGGGTTCATTGCTCCAATTTTTTGGTTGATTTTGCTTTGATTATCTTATAGTTGCTAGATCTGCTGCTTGTTTCTTCGTTCTGGTTGGGATAAATCCGAGCTTGGTTCTTATAATTTGAAAATTTACTTCAAGAGTTCCTAAGGGTGTGGTTTCCAGATGAAGATGAAGGTTTTCTTTTCTTGGTTTTTTTTTGTTATTTTGCTATCTTGGCTGAGCCATTTTGAATGAAATTTACAAGCGTTAGCTTATCTCTTAATCTCGTCAGTTCGATGCTAAACCTTTCTCGTAGTTGCACTCGGGCAACCTTGCAATCGGAGAATACAATGTTTGATTGAGCTGACTGATCTGTAATTGTAGTTTCTTGTCGGCTTTGAACACATTTGGCTTCCTTTGAAGGGAAGTAGCAATGGCTTTGAGTTGCTAAGAGGCTTTCAATTATCTAGTTTGGTGCTAATGCATGATCTTTTTCCTCTGGGCAGAGTCAAACTATGGTTGGACAAGGAGGTGCTCAGAAGTTAACTACAAATGATGCACTTGCATACCTCAAGAATGTGAAGGATAAATTCCATGATAACCGTGAGAAATACGATGAGTTTCTTGAGGTCATGAAGGATTTTAAAGCTCAGAGGTAATAGTTTTGTTCTCTGATATGTTGATTTGACTTTTTGAATTCAAATCTTGTCCAGATAAAGGTCCTACGATTTTCTGGGAATTGACGCTGATGTGTTATGTTCATTGCAGAATCGATACTGCTGGTGTCATAGCAAGAGTGAAGGAACTCTTCAAGGGGCATCGAGAGCTGATTTTAGGGTTCAACACCTTCTTGCCAAAGGGTTTTGAGATCACCCTCCTGCCCGAGGATGGACAACCTCCACAGAAGAAACCTGTTGAGTTTGAAGAAGCAATTAGTTTTGTCAACAAGATCAAGGTAGACACATCTCGATTGCCTTGTTTCTTCTTCTGCTTATCTGTTAAAAAAAAATCATTTTTTCTGCAGACGAGGTTCCAGGGAGATGATCGTGTATACAGATCATTTCTAGACATTTTAAACATGTATAGAAAGGAAAACAAGTCCATCACTGAGGTCTACCAGGAGGTTCGTTCATTGCTGCTCTGTTTATGATGTCCTTCCTTGGGTTTGTTGCTCTTCTTTTCTTGGTCTGAATTTGCCTATCTTGCAGGTGGCTACCCTTTTCCGGGATCATCATGATTTACTTGTCGAATTTACTCATTTTCTCCCCGATACCTCAGCAACAGCCACTGCTCATTCTGTTAAAAATTCTGTGTCGCGTGACAGGGGCATTTCTGTGCCCACAGTCCGCCAAATGGCCTCTGACAAGGTTCGTCTCTCTGAATTTCACTTGGAAGTAAAATCTCTGTATATGCTTACTGTGTTGGTAAAAGTCGATAACCAAATTTGTGTATGTTATGTGCATTGTTGCAGAAGGAAAGGGACATTACTTCACATCCTGACCATGATGTCAGTGTTGAAGGCCCCGACCTTGCCCATGATAAATCTCAAGTGAAAGAAAATAAAGAGCAAATGAGATGTAATGACAAAGAAAACGAGCAGAGGGATGACAGAGACAGGAGAGATAACCAAAGAGATGATGGAGATTTTGAACATGATAGCCAGACACAGCAGTTTCCCAAAAACAAAAGGAAACTACCACTGAGGGGTGATGATTTGGCTGTACTTTCCTATCAAGGTAGGGACGAGGACAAAAATCTTGGCATCCTTCCTTGTCCATCTGTTTTTTTCACTCCTTTCCATCTAATTTTGATGAAACAAATGCTTCTTTATCTTATACTTCAGAAAATTCAGTATGCTAATTCATTTCTCAAATGATTAGGAGTTTTGTCGAATTTCATACAAAATTATACAGCATTTTTTGCTTTATATTCTGCATATGTTTAAAACAATTTTTTGCTTGACAGGTTACAGCCAAGAACTTGCATTTGCCGATAGAGTGAAGGACAAGCTACATAATTCTGACTACCAGGAATTTTTAAGATGCATTAATCTTTATTCAAAGGAAATAATCAGCCAACCAGAGTTAAAATCTTTGGTATGCCTATACACCTGCCAACAGTTACCTTTCTCCTGATCAAATAACTTGACTTTGAGGAGGTTATAGTAAAGGATGTGGCATTTGACTGCCGATGAGTTATGGAAATTTATGCTTTGCATCAGGTAGGAGATTTAATTGGAGCATATCCAGATCTCATGGATGCCTTCAGAGAATTTTTGGTGCTGTGTGAGAAGAATGGTAGCAATGCCGAATTATGCTTTTTTTCCCCTTCTTTTCGCCTTCTATGGTTTAAGCTAAATCTTGTCTTTTTTTTTCCTTTCCGGGCAGAAGGATTGCTTTCTAGTATTGTGACCAGGAGTAAGTTTGGCTATCTTCTTTAACATTATATATATATATAAGACTTGCTCGCCAGATTTATAATTCAGTAATTTGCAATGAGAACCGAAAGGAAAGCAAGTTTCTTCTCACCATCAGATTGCTATAAATGCAGAGTCCACGTGGAGTGTAGGCAATTATCCTCGATCTACTAAGGTGGAAGACAAAGATAGAGACCGAGAACATGAGGGGGATGAAAGGTATAAAGAAAGAGACCATGAGAGGGAGAGGCTTGAAAAAGTTGCAGTGAGTAACAAATGGGCAAAACCTATCAATGAACTTGATCTCTCGAACTGTGAACAGTGCACTCCTAGTTATAGGCTACTTCCAAAGAATGTATGTACCCACTGTTCATCATTATATATATATATATATATATATATATATATTTGCCTTCCTATATTTTGTATCATAGTTTTCATGTAAACATTATTGTTTCATGCAGTACCCAATTCCTATTGCAAGCCAGAGAACAGAGCTTGGTAGCCAGGTACTCAATGATCACTGGGTCTCAGTCACTTCAGGAAGCGAAGATTATTCATTTAAACACATGCGCAAGAACCAGTACGAGGAGAGCCGCTTCCGATGTGAAGATGACAGGTTGGTTGTTAACTTCCATCATGCACCATGTCCTGTCTGTTCTACTTACTGTTTAGTTGGTGGAAAGAAATAACGGTTTATTTCATTTCTTCGGTGGATAATTGCTACTTGATTTAACTTTCTATCACAATCTGACTACCTTTTTTCATTGTAGAAGCATTTTTTTTTTCTTGGAATGGTCTGGAGTTGGTGAATAATTGTCCATTGCTGTGCTTTTAGGTTTGAGCTGGACATGTTGTTAGAGTCTGTGAACTCAACTACAAAGCGTGTGGAGGAACTATTGGCAAAGTTTAACAGTAATGAATTGAAAACTGACAACCCCGTCCGTATCGAGGATCACCTCACAGGTATATAAGTTGGTACCAACATATCACACCATGATTTTTTTTCTTGTAGCTTAGCTGAGTTTACAAATTCCGTTACGCTACTGATGATTTTTTTTTTGTCGCTGTTCTTTTAGCGCTGAACCTAAGATGCATAGAACGCCTATACGGTGACCATGGGCTCGATGTGATGGATGTACTAAAGAAGAATGCTTCTCTTGCTTTACCGGTGATACTAACACGTCTGAAGCAGAAGCAAGAAGATTGGGCGAGGTGTCGTTCTGATTTTAACAAAGTCTGGGCTGAAATATATGCCAAGAACTACCATAAATCACTTGATCATCGTAGTTTCTATTTCAAACAGCAGGACTCGAAGAATCTGAGCACGAAAGGTTTTTCCCGAAACCCAATAGCTGAATATCTTGATATATACACGGATAAATTGTGGACAGAAGCATTTTAGTTATGATTGATATCATCCATGTTTGGTTGTAAAATGTTGCTGAATTTTGTGTGTACTATTTTTTGCTGCAGCATTGATCGCAGAGATAAAAGAGATCACTGAGAAGAAGCGAAAGGATGATGATACGCTCCTTGCTATTGCAGCAGGAAATAAGAGATCTATTTCTCCCAATCTGGAGTTTGATTATCCAGATGCTGGTATTCACGACGATCTGTATCAGCTGATCAAGTATTCATGTGCTGAAATGTGCTCAACTGAGCAGCTAGATAAGGTAATGAAGATTTGGACAACCTTTTTGGAACCAATGTTTGGTGCTCCTTCTCGCCCTCTGGGTGCAGAAGACAGAGAAGATGTTGTCAACTCCAAGAACCAGAATGTGAAAAGTGGTAACACAAGTGTTGGGGAGAGTGAGGGCAGTTCTCACAATGGTGGACCGAGTGTTGTCCATTCAAATGTCCCCCGAAAAGCCAATGAAAGTAATGCAGTTGGGCAATGTTGTAATTCGGAGAAGGATGTCTCTGCTTGCAAGACCTTCGATGCTTTATGTGAGTCTTCTCAGCATGAACAAGCACAGAAGAATGCATCCGCATCTGACGAAGGGCATGAAACCAAAGAAGCTATTTCTGTTGAGCATATACGCAATTCAAACACATCCACTGCATATGGATTATCAGACCTAAACAATGAGAGGCCTAGCACAGGAAACATGGCAGGTAACACCTGAAATCTTGCTTCAAATACAATTTCTCTTGGCGTTTTTCGTTTCTGTTGAGATCTTGGAATTTTTCACTTGACCAGGGCTTAGCAATACAAACCCCAGACCTAGCGGTGTCACCAGCGAAACTGAGACAGAATTGAAGCCTAATGACGGGAATTCACCGAAAATAGAGGTATTGCTGGGTGTTGATACGCTTGAGCTCCAGTATCTTCCTTCCGATATTCATCTCTAACTGTCTGCATATGAACCTACCTTTGTGGTTTCATAGTGCTTAACTTCTGTATAAGGAAAGCTAGATAAAGTTAAAATCATTCAGAGGATTATATGATAGCGCCAAGAGATGGCATTGATGAGCTTTTGTTTTCCCCACAGGCCGGTGAAACGAGGAACGAAAGATGCAATGAAGGATTGGCTGAACAGTCCCAAGTTGAAAGAGAAGAGGGTGAACTTACTCCTAATGGAGATTTTGAGGAAGACAACTTTTCAGTTTTTGCAGAAACCAACAAGGTTAAGGATAATGTTGGAAATAACTTAAACCGAACTGGGGAAGAGGAAGCAGCATGTCATGGGGAGACAGGTGCAGAGAATGAAGCTGATGCCGATGATGAAGGTGAAGAAAGTGCTCCGAGATCATCAGAGGAAAGCGGAAATGCTTCCGAGAATGGTGATGTCTCTGGAACTGAGTCTGGTGATGGTGAAGATTGTTCTCGGGAAGAGCATAGAGATGATGTAGAGCATGATAACAAGATAGAAAGCGAAGGTGAGGCTGAAGGGATGGCTGATGCCCACGACGTTGAAGGAGATGATGGGTCAGTATTACCCTTTTCAGAACGGTTCTTGTTACACGTGAAGCCGCTTGCAAAGCATGTTCCTCCATCATCACATGACAAGGGCAGGGATTCTCTAAAGAACTCCCGGATATTTTATGGGAATGATTCTTTTTATGTGCTTTTCAGGCTTCACCAGGTAAAGGATCATTTCTCGGTTTGAAAACAATTCTGCAAAGATTTTCTCGAGGTAAGCTTACATATGATTATTCTTGACAGATGTTGTATGAGAGAATACTTTCTGCAAAGATCAATTCATCATCTGCAGAAAGGAGGTGGAGGGCCTTGAACACAGCAAACCATGCTGATCCCTACTCCAGGTAATTATATAACTATTCAGGGCTAGTGAGCTTTTATGCAATAAGGACATTGAATCTATTCTCCTACTTATTGAATTACTTTTGTGAATTGTCAGCTTCATGAATGCCCTCTACAACTTGCTTGATGGTACATCTGATAATGCAAAATTTGAGGATGATTGCCGTGCTATTATCGGAACACATTCATACGTTCTATTTACGTTGGACAAACTAATTTATAAGCTCATCAAGCATGTAAGCTTTCTTTGTGTTTATTTTTTCCTTCTTCTTTAGATACCCTTTTTTTGGTTCTCTTAGATTTGTCCTTCAATGGATATGCAAACTGAACTATGTGTTGTTTCTCTTTCAGCTCCAAGTAGTTGCAACTGATGAGATGGACCACAAGCTTCTACAGCTACATGCATATGAGAAATCCAGAAACCTCGAAAAATTTCCTGATGTTGTTTATTACGATAATGCTCGTGTTCTCCTCCCCGATGAAAATATTTACCGCATCGAATGCGTAAGTTTTTACTCTTACAGCATACGGGACTTATTTGAACTTTTTTTCATTTGAATCACCCTCGGTGCTTTCACAAGCAAAATCTTGAATCTTTAGATGTGTGTATAGATTTCTTTTTTTTGGTAATTTCTGCAGAAATCGTCAACACCGATGAAACTCTCGATTCAGCTAATGGACAATGGATTTGATAAACGAGAGGTGACTACCATAGTTATGGATCCGAGTTTTGCAGCTTATCTCCACAATGACTTCCTGGCTGATGGACCAAACGGAAGAGACAAGACTGGGATTTATTTAAAGAGGTGAATAGAGAAAACGAAAGAAAGAAAAAAAGACAACCTTTCTTTTATCTCAATTCAAGCCAATGAACAACACCTTGTTTTCAGGAACAAGCGAAAATTCGGCAGTAGCCATGATGATGATGGTGAGCTATATTCTATGGAAGGAGGAGTTATCATTGTCAATGGATTAGAGTGTAAGATGGCATGCAGTTCTTCCAAGGTACAATTTTCTCTTTAAAAAGAAAAATCTTTCTGACAGATTCATGAGCTGTGGTTTTGAATCATTTTGAGGGGAAATCTCTCTAGCAGGTCTCTTATGTTTTAGACACGGAGGACTTGTTGCATCGCTCCAAGAAGAGAAAACCCTCTGTCTCAGACCAAAGCTTCGGTTCAGCCCTCGGACAGGGCACAGTTTCCGGTTGTTCTGTAACTAGACAACGGCGGATTCAGAGATACCGAAAACTTCTCTCTGGACAGTGAAATCCCTCTGGTTTCTCCAAGAAACGTGGAGTATCTCCGCCATTGATGTCTCAGATAGATACCTTCTTCAGAAGAGAAGGAACAGAAAGGAAAGGCTCTCAATGATGATGATGATGATGATGATGATGGAGATGGTGATGATGATAATGATGCTTCAGGTTTGCCTGAAGGATAGAATAAAGGGTGGAAGAAGAGCAAAGTATTGATGTGTATACAGGACAGGATCTTTGTATGTTGTAACATTGCCTTTATTACTATTCTTATTGTTTCTAATGTCTTTACAAGTACACGTCTCCATGTTAGTGTCCAGTATTAGATTCCCCTGATTTCATTTCTAATTAAATAAGTATTTTATGTTACGATTATACCAAAATGGAAAAATAATTATATTCTCAGAAACAATAGTATAAAATTCTGAAACCGTCTTATATTTTTTTCTTAAATCAAAATTTACAAGTTCGGAGCGCCTCTTTGTGAAAGCCAAAAGACCTCAAAAAAGTTTGACTTGTATATATATAAATATATATGTATGTATGTAAAAGATATATTCATTTTTGCTCTTCGCTCACCAAACGAACGTCCTTGATTGAGAAAAAGCAGAAGTCGACGGCGGAAATGGCCCTATCACGTCTTTCGTCTCGATCCAATGGCCTTCTCCAGCCCGCCGCCGCCGCCTTGACCGCCTCGCTCCGCCGCTCGGTTTCCACGGACACGTCGCCTCTGACGATCGAGACCTCTGTCCCGTTCACGGCGCATCTCGTGGAGTCGCCGTCACGCGCCGTCGAGACCTCGGCGAAGGAGCTTCTCTCGTTCTACCGTGACATGGTCTTGATGCGGCGGATGGAGATCTCCGCCGATTCGCTCTACAAGGCGAAGCTGATCCGTGGGTTCTGCCATTTGTACGACGGTCAAGAGGCCGTCGCGGTCGGAATGGAGGCGGCGATTACCAAGCGTGATGCCATTATAACCTCGTATCGAGATCATTGCACGTTCTTAGGCCGTGGTGGCTCGCTCGTTGAGGCGTTCTCCGAGCTTATGGGAAGAAAAGCGGGCTGTTCCAACGGAAAAGGAGGATCTATGCACTTCTACAAGAAGGACGCGGGGTTTTACGGTGGGCACGGGATCGTCGGAGCTCAGATTCCACTTGGCTGTGGTTTGGCCTTTGCGCAGAAATACTCTAAGGATGAAGCTGTGGCGTTCACCTTGTATGGCGATGGTGCCGCCAATCAGGGACAGTTGTTCGAGGCTTTGAACATAGCGGCGCTATGGGACTTGCCTGCAATTCTGGTTTGCGAGAACAATCATTGTGAGCATCTTTTATGTTTTGTTTCGAATCGAAGGTGTTTGGTTTCTGGTCTCTGGTTTTGTTGATTGGATTGTTTGGTGATGCAGACGGGATGGGAACGGCAGAGTGGAGGGCCGCTAAGTCCCCAGCCTATTTCAAGCGAGGCGACTATGTTCCTGGCTTGAAGGTGAGATTGAATTGTTTGAATATCTTCACCCTTGGATGTTGAAATGTTCTTCCTTTACCTTCATTACTGAATATATAGCTATGGCGGTTATAGTTGGTATAGAATAGTCTTGTGGAACCTGGACGTTTGCTCGAAGGGAGATATGAGACAGGAGACTTAGGAGAAAGAACAAAACTTTCCGTGATATTAGATTCTGTTCTGTATGTAAAAGGGCTAAGGTGATTAATAGGAACTTGAAAAGGAGGAGTATCAGTGGCATTGTGTCCAAAATCTCTATCTTTTTACTCTGGAAGTAGTTGTTTTGGGTCTTCTTGCTTTTTCACCTTTAGAATTCCTTTCTTCTGGCCGAGGAAATAATGACCTTGAACTAATTAGTGATCATATCGTGCTTTGTGCGAAAGGTGGATGGCATGGATGTGCTCGCCGTGAAACAAGCTTGCAAGTTTGCCAAAGAGCATGCACTCAAGAATGGACCAATTGTAAGTCTTTTCTTGTCATTCTTATTTTGCATTGCCCTCTAAGCCGCCAAATCAAAGTAACTCTCCAAGCTTTTCACTGAAGTTGTCATAAATCGGACAAACATTTGGTGTTTAAGTGACGTACTTGACTAAGTGGTTAGAGTATTGAGTTCATGTGTAACTTTGTTTAACATGAAAAATTATACCGGATAGGTATGTTCTTTTTTGTCTTGCACTTTCATCATATGCACAAGCTCCATTACTGATTGTTGGGTTGTTTTCTTAACCTGAAAGCGTTACTGGCCATGAAAAGAACTAGTAGATATCGCTAAAATTATCTTCGAGATGTTGGAGTGAACCTTAAACTTCATATTGAGATTGGAATTTTTTTTACCCTTGTTGCATTTCTATCACTGGGTGGGTAATGTCTCTATCTGGGATATATATGACCTAAGTAAGTACATTTGTGATTGTCTCTGTAGATCCTTGAGATGGACACCTACAGATATCATGGTCACTCAATGTCTGACCCAGGGAGCACCTACCGTACACGTGACGAAATCTCTGGCGTGAGACAGGTCGGTTGGTTCTCTTATCTATCTGCAGGTTTCTGCTGCTCAAAAGTTAGAACTTTACTTCCGGGGAACCGGGTCTTATATTTTTTCTCGCATTGTGTTACATTTAGGAGCGAGATCCGATTGAGAGAGTGAGAAAGCTGATTGTATCTCATGACTTTGCTACCGAAAAAGAGCTCAAGGTACCTTGTCTTTTTACCCTTGCATTGTGAAATTTCGAGAAACGATACATATTCAGTCGCAATGTTGTCTTAAATTCAGGACATTGAGAAAGAAGTGAGGAAAGAAGTGGATGCAGCCATAGCTGAGGCGAAGGTAAAACAAAAAAGAGTCTCAGTCTCTGTGTTTTCCTCCCGAAATGCAAAGTTTTGCTCTGCTCTGCATAGTTTGACAATGTTTGTTTACGAATTTCTTCCCTGTCCTTTCACGTGCGTTACAGGAGAGCCCAGTGCCAGATGACTCCGAGCTCTTCACGAATATATACGTCAAAGGTCTAGGAACTGAGGTAAGATCCACTCCCTTCATCATCATGTCCCTTGCAACAGAACAGTTCCAACATTGTCGGGTTGGGTTGCATTGCATTGATGAAGATGCCCTGAGACTTGTTTTTTATGTGATTTGTACTACAGTCGTTCGGAGCAGACAGAAAGGAACTCCGAGCATCACTTCCATAAAACCAGCGGCTCTTCCCTAACTGAAAAGGTCATATTGGAATAATCCCCCCCTCCCCACTTTGCTTCAAATAAATCCCTTTTCAAAAACAACGGACACCCTTTGATCATGTTTCCTGATCTTTTTATTATGTGTTCCTTCCTTCGGGGGTGTGTGTTGTTTGATTTAAACATTTGAATCCAATTATTAATGTAGAGCTTAGAAAAAAATGTAAAAAGATTTGGTGTATATCGAATCGAATCTTATGTGGAATATATCCATTGAGGCACGACACCAATAGGGAGCTTGATTAAGCCGTCGAGACAAACGTCATGCGGTTAGGACACAAATAAGCAACAGTGCCGTTTCATGAGTCTCTAATTCTGTTATGTGGGATTCTTTTAGAGAATCATTCCGGTCGAATAAACGAGGAATAGTCTAATTCAACAATGCCCAATGGACTTGGAGTTCGAGGCGTGAGATTTCAGCACCGTCCATCTTCACGGGGCTAGCATCGTGCTTCGGACATCAGTCAGTAGAAGATCCTCCTCTTCCTCTTCCTGTCCCTTTCCCGACCAAACTTAAATATATATGCATTTATGGAAATAAAATTATAAGCGGTGGACACAAACACAAGTGACGACAATTTCACATGAACCCGTGTTCTACGCGCTAAGCAAAGCAAAGCATCATTCTTTTGTTTGCATGGGAGAGAGAGAGAGAGAGAGAGAGAGAGCAGGTACTTGGACGTACCAAAACGACATGACAAATGGGCAACACCTAACTAATGAATTGGATTGGGATGATCTTGGCTTGTACATGTCCTTTTCAACCTTACACCAAATCATACTCCATGACGCCATATTCGATTACTTTTTTTTAATCGTTATTGTTTTTTAGGGTTTGGTAAATAAAATTGGTACCACGACCGATGTCTTCGCTCTTGGAATGTGTTTGGATGCTAATATTTGTTGCAGATTAGGTTTGTTACAGATAATATAGAATGGATCTTATAATAGTAAAAAAAATATATAAAATAATACTCCAATAATCATATAAATAACGTACGTATTTCTTTTTTTGGCTAAACAATAATGTACGTATTTCCTTCTATACTTTACCGTCTTTACCCAATATTTGGTGTTTTAGATGAAACGGGAAACTGATTAATTTGAAAAGGTTAGCCATTGTTTTGCCTTTTTGTGTCTTACTGTAAATGATAATTTCGACAGCAAATTACCACCACAAAAAAAATAAAAAAGAGATCAGATGTCATATAGACACGCGGCTGAACAAAGAAAATGATGTATAAACATATGATTATAATTATACATATATACATATCTATTTATTTATTGCGAGATTTTATTTAGTGGTACTACCCGATGAGAATATTCCCACTAACATATGCACGGTACCGACAACCCAATAAAAATAAGAAAAAGGAGGAGAGCAAATTTAAATAAATATCTTGAGAAAATTTGGAATTTATATAATTAGGTGGCCATTAATATTTCAAATATACAGAGAAATGACAACTTAAACTTGAATATGAAACACTCATATTCTGATCCAATACGGAATATCTATTTTTTGGTATTAAATTATACAGATTTTTATAACTGTTGGTTCAGATACTTTTGTCCCTTTTAAAGCCCAAGTAAATGATGGTATTTACATTTTTAAACAAAATATAATGTTTTATTTTTGTTTAAGATCTTATATATCCTCTAGATTTAGAAGGTGACAATCTAGACTTTCCTTGATTGCTCTGTACCAAATTCTAACATTAAACGGAAATTTATCATTTTCTTGGAAATATTCTTTTTGTTGGAAATTAATTTTTATTTTACGTTTTCCGATTTATTACGTAGGGCAGCAAAGGGACGTGCAGAGCACGTGATACTGAGGTCAACGAGCGATCAGCCAATCAGAAGCAAGATTGAACTTCTCATAGATTAAATCTCAGCCGTCCATCTCCGCAACGAGCCCATATCTGAAGGCGAATCCTCCAGCTGGTTCTGTCGTGCTCACAGCTGGCGCCGCTGCATTCATTTTTTTTTCTTACGGTACACCCAACCGCAGTTAATTACACCTCTCTACCTACTAAATCATCGAATTATTTCGTTAATCCTGTACTTAATTAGGTAATTACGCGGTGCAAAAGAAAAAAAAAGAGGTAATTACGTTGGGATGATCATATATATATTTTATTTGAAAACTTTCTCTTAACGACTAAGCGTCATTGTGGAACACGCGCTGCAAAAGCGCGTGTAGTCACGTTCCGAAGAGAAGGAAAGGAGGTGAGAATCCAAAGTAAGAAGAAAGAAAGAGAGAGACCTCTCTTTTAAAACCCCGTCTTCGTCTTCTTCCTCTCTCCTTATCTCTCCATCGCACTGTGGAGAGAGAAAGGAACATTCTTGAACTCATGACTCAAAATCTTTCGATAAGCTTTCGCCTGTTCCATACAGTTGAAAACCAGTAGCGCAAGAAAAGTACCGACCGATCTTTATCTCTATTTTCTCTCATCTCTTTCGTTCTCAAGAACATCGGAATCGAAGAAGGAGATATAGATAAATCGCGTTTCCTGATAATGCCGTCGCGTTTTCCTCTAAACGGCGCGGTTTCTGTGGTCGCGTGTTGTTTGGTGCTTCTGTTGCAGTCTGTCGCCGGAATACGAACAGTTCCGGTGAGGATTGTCCGCGGCGGCGGCGGAAATGGATTGGACTTAGGGCCGTTCATGGAAGCTCCGGATTACAGAAACGGCAAGGAGTGCGTGTCGTCATCGGTGAATAGGGAGAGCGTCGTGTACGAACGATTCCGGGCAGGATTTTCGGCGGCGGCGGAGGAAATGGGGTTGACCTGGGGCCGTACACGGAGGCTCCGGATTACAGGAACGGCAAGGAATGCGTGCCGTCTTCGGTCTATAGGGAGAACTTCGTGTCGTCCTGCGACCCATCGCTCGTCCACATCGCCATGACTTTGGACTCGGAATACCTCCGGGGATCGATCGCCGCCGTTCATTCCGTACTCCGCCACGTGTCGTGCCCGGAGAACGTCTTCTTTCATTTCATCGCGGCCGAGTTCGACCCGGCGAGTCCTCGAGTTCTGATTCAACTCGTCCGGTCGACTTTCCCGTCGCTGAATTTCAAGGTCTACATTTTCCGGGAGGACACGGTCATCAACCTCATCTCGTCGTCGATCAGACAAGCCCTTGAGAACCCTTTGAACTACGCTCGGAACTATCTTGGAGACATCCTCGACAGCTGCGTCGACCGAGTCATATACCTTGACTCGGATGTCATCGTGGTGGATGACATCACCAAGCTGTGGAGGAAGACGTTGACCAGGTCACGGGTCATCGGAGCTCCGGAATACTGCCATGCCAACTTCACCAAGTACTTCACGGCCGGGTTCTGGTCCGACCCGAGTCTTTCGCGGGTTTTCCTGGGTCGAATCCCCTGTTATTTCAACACGGGAGTGATGGTGATGGATTTGAAGAGATGGAGAGAAGGGAATTACAGAGAAAAACTTGAGGATTGGATGGAATTGCAGAAGAAAAGGAGAATCTACGATCTGGGTTCGTTGCCGCCGTTCTTACTGGTGTTCGCGGGGAATGTGGAAGCCATCCATCACAGATGGAATCAACACGGTCTAGGAGGGGACAACGTACGAGGAAGCTGCCGGTCCCTGCACTCTGGTCCGGTGAGCTTGTTGCATTGGAGCGGGAAGGGGAAGCCATGGGTGAGGCTGGACGAGAAGAGACCATGCGCCATCGACCATCTGTGGGAGCCGTACGATCTGTACAAGCGCAAGATTGAAAGAGCCAATGATCAGTCCTTTCTGGGTTTCTCTTCCTTGTCGGAGTTAACCGAAGAATCGAGCTTCTTGTGAGATTGATTGATTTGTATTCATTTTTCAGTTTTGTGTTTACATCCTTGTTTGAGATTCTTTGATTGCTGTTGTTGTACAGATCGATTAGAGATTCTGTGGAGACCATTGGTGATTAGATTCCGACATTCCTTTTTTTTTTCCAAACTGATTCGAACATCTCAAATTCTCAATTCCTCTGTTGATCGACTATTTTTTTTCTCATTTCATAAAAAAAAATATTTGAATGGTGATTTCGTTATGTTAGATATGATGAAACAGAGTCCTGCGGTTGCGGTTTTTTGACATTGATGGGATATCGGAAATTACGTTTTTACTAGTCTAGTTTAGATTTGCATTGTCCGAAGTTCGGCCCATTTTATAGGTACTAATGGGCTTGGGCTATATATAACAGAAAAGTACGAAAACATTAAATGGGCTCAGCCCATATCTTCATATTTCTTGGGCCTTTGCCAGTGGGTTTGGTCGCATTCGCATCATGCGATTTGGGAAGGGGAGGAGGGCTCATAAAAATGCCTCCTTTCAAAAACATATATTATTTTCCTTTTTCAGCTCTCAAATCGTAAATTCATAATTATAAACTTAAACTAATTCACATCGTACGGTTCACGTTAATTACTTCGAAGCCAGCAAACCGTTACGGGACCCTTCCCCCTTTTCTTGAAAACCGGTATATGTACAGTGAAATCGAACCGGATCAGTTTTGGTTCGAGTGGGCTTGTGACAACTTACCGGCCGGTTGAGGGATTGGTCTCCACGTGGCACAATGGGATCAAAGCAAAGAATCTTCCAAGAAAAAGAAAAGTCCTATCGCTTCTATTTATTATCCCACGATCCAAACAAATTCTTCTCTTCCCGTCTCTCCCCCAAAGTCCAATCCCCAAAATCTTTGAATAAAATCCCTAAATCCAATGGGATTCCTGTAAAACTTGTCAAATTCAGAGCAGGAAAGCCACGGAATTTGGAACCCTGGACGCATTTCAATCAATTGTTACCTCGGAAGGAAGAATCGGATCAATCCTCCGATTCAATGTCTCAGTCTCATCCACTTCATGTTCGGATGTTGTTCCTGTTGTTCCTATGCATTTCAGGGTTAGGTCTCGGCGTTGACCGAGGGGAAGCCTTCAAGGTCCCCTTCAGAGTTAACGATGTTCTTCCGGTGCTGCCTGGCCAGATTTCGTGGCCCGTTCTGAACAACTTCCACAGCGCCGTCGACCTCTTACCCGTCTTCGTCGGCTCGGTAACTCCGACCAATGGGTCTCTCGTGTGGAAAGGAGCTTGCTTTCATGGTAACGAGGCGAGACTCGAGATTACCCATAGTGATCGCCATGAGCCTGGGCTCGGTGGCGGTCTTCTCCATCTCAAGGTCGGTCTGTTTCCCCCTTGGATTGTGAATTTTCGGTTTAGGGCTTGCTTTTCTCCGAGAATCGATGATGGGTTGTGTTTCCTTTTGTACATATGAGCCTTATTTTGGGTATTGGTTGTGATATTGTTGCTTCCAATGGTCCAATGTAAATCATTCCATCGTTTAGCTCCTAATGATCTGTGTAGAATTTGAGAATTCTTTATGAAAACGAAAGCGATTCAACTGCATATGAAGTTAGAATTCCGGAAATTATGTGTAGTTGCTTCTGAAATTTGGGACTTTTATTTGATTTCTTGTCAAAAGTTTTCTGCTTTTTCTCTATCAGACATCTGAAGCGCACAGCTGGACATGCATGGACCTGTATGTATTCGCAACTCCATACAGGATTACATGGGACTATTATTTCTCTGCCCGAGATCATACTTTGAAGTTCGATTCTTGGGAAGAGTCTGCTGAACTAGAATACGTACGTCTTGAGTTGTTTTTTTCTTTCTTTCTTTTTTCTTCAGATGGTTTTTTGTAATTTATGGTAACACTCAAGGATTGTATTGAGCAGGTAAAGGAGCATGGAATCTCTGTGTTTCTTATGCCTTCTGGAATGATGGGAACAATGCTTTCCTTGATCGATGTCTTACCTCTCTTCTCAAACACTGTCTGGGGCCAGAACGCGAACCTGGCATTCCT